TCTTCAATTCATCATTTTATCTTTTTCTTTTACAGATAATAAATTAATAGATATAAGATAATAAATGGATAAAAATTTGAGAGCTAGAATAGTTAATTGTATTAAAAAAATATTAGTTATATCATTATGGATAATAATATTTATCAATTTTCAATTTAAATGATGATAAAATTTTAAGCGCATGTAAAAATGATAGATTGAAAAATCATTTTAATATAATAGCAAAAGAAAAAAAAAAAGCTTACAAAAGATTCATTCGTCGAATAATTATATGAAATTTTTGTAGTATTAAAATGTACGAAAAGGAAAGGATATATTGATATACATATTTGACGTAAAATAATAAATTGTGAAAAGTTGCAAAAAAGAGAGAAAGAAGCAAAAAAAAAAAAAATTTTTTTAGTTCTGTTTAAATGGGAAAATGTTATTTTTATAATTAATTATTTTAATGAATTAGCGCGTATTTTGTTCTTTTGCTTAACAAAATGAAATTCCCTCCCAATTATTTTTTTTAGGATAAATTTTTTTGGAATAATATTGTGGAGGAAGTTAAATTAAAATATTAAGATTTCATTATATTTTATCCAAAGAATAAGTTATATTTTTTTTGTCAAAAACTGTTTTGATCTGTAAAATTTAAAATGAAGGGAAGACTTATTTGGTTTGTTTCAGTTTTGCTTTTGAATCTTTTGAAAGCCTAAAATGTTCTCTTCTTTTCAGTTATCCCACACCACAAAAAGGATACGCAGCACCGCCACTTCCACCTCCACTTCCACCTCCACCTCCACCTCCACCTCCTGCCTATGCGGTACCCGCACCACCGCCGTCTGCCTATCCGGCACCACCTCCACCACCTGCTTATGGGCCACCTCCACCTCCTGCCTATGGGCCACCTCCACCTCCTCCCTATGCGCCACCTCAACCTCCACCTCCTTCATATGGGGCACCACAACTACCACAACATTATGCATCACAACCTGCTTATGGAGCACCATCATACGGTGGTGCAGGAGATGCTTACGGTAGCGGAGGAGCAGGCTATGATGGAGCAGGTGGTTACGGAGGTGGCGGCCCTTCACAGTACGGTGGTGGTGGAGGAGTAGGCGGAATTAATGGAGTGGCTGCACCTGAATTACCACCACAACCACCACAAGCAGCACCTTCATCAGTCCAACAATCACCAGTCAATCAACAATCATTTCAGGAGCAGTCATCAGCATTGACTGCGGAAGCTCCTCCTATAGCCGCACCTGCTCCAGCATCTTCATTTCAGGAGCAAGCACAACCGCTGCCAGCGGCTTCTTCAGCATTTGCGGAACAAAGTAGCGGAGGAGCGCTATCACAAACATATCAAGATAGTGGCGCTGATAGTCAGGCCGGTAGCGGTTATCGTGATCGATTGAAATTTTCGAAAAAAAAAGCCTAACTCGTCAATCGTTGCTTGAAAAGCAACGATTGACGAGTTAGGCTCTATAAACATTGATTTCTTATTGTCTTTCCTCTTTACCTGTGCCTTTTATTCCAATTCAAGGAATAAATTTCAAAAATTCTTTATTCCTTTAATTTTCTTCTTTTCTTTTTGTACAAATCCTACCAATATAATTCTTATAAAGTAATCTTGTCTTACTTAATTCGAAATTTTGTCACTTATAAAATAATTAATGTATTCATTCTATTATATGTATTCAATACTTTATTAATTTTTTGTCTATCATCTATTAATCTATTTTTATATTTTCACATATATATATCGATTATCATCTATTTTTTTATATTTTCACATATATATATTTATACATCGGTTTATGATTTTGGTTTATGATTTTGTGTACAATGATTTTGTGTTGTTTGTATATGTCGTCAATAAGATTACTGAAGAAATGTCTTGGATTTTTCACATTTTACGCTAATTCGGTATATTCAATTTGAAATTAAAGGTTAAATGTTTAAATGGAAGAACAAAAAGAACGAAAGAAGAAAGCTGCTTCTTCTGTTTTGCTAAATAATTATCGTAATTTCACCTACGCAATCAATTAATATGTTTAATCGCCTCGCAATGTTTTTTTTTTCTTTGAAGATTTTATAAAAGTCCAGATATTCTTTTTCCTTGCTTTTTTTAAATGGAATTTTCTGAATTTCAACATTTTAACTTGATAGACAATGAAATAAAAAAGTGGGAAAAGCAAATTTTAATATACGCTTTACTGATTTCATCCTATATAGCAAATGTCAATTTAAATTTAGGAGATTAATTTTTATTTTTACATCATCTAAATGGAAATGCAAATAACTTGTCTTTTTTTAAAAATCGTTTTTCAATTATGTTTACCGAATATATTTACAATTCCATGTGATATAAATGCAGGTACGATTAATTGAAACCATGAATAATAGACAATTAGAAAGAGAGTAACATAAAAAAAAAACTTCAAACTTAAGCTAATTTCAAAATTTGGATAAGATTATAAACTTAGGTACTTCTGAAAGAAACACCTTTGAAATTTAGTTATTTGTTCATTTAATTGTTTCGGACATCTAATACTATGATCCATTTTCAACTGTGAATTCAAGCTAATAACTAAAAATTTCATTGCCCAGTTTAATAACTTTAAGTATATCTTTTACTTTAAAAAAATAAACAAATGAATGTGGAAGAAAGTACTGTAACAAAAACATCTATTACTACTACTATACTAGCATAATAACTATTATTATTTTAATATTTTTAATTAAAGATTTCATTTCTTTTTTTACAACAGCATGAATAAAGCCAAATGTTTTTCATTTCTAGAACAATAAGATACCAAATACTTTTTCTTTAGGAATATTATTAAAGAAAGAAAGGAATTAAATTGGTTAATTGGGTAAATCAACCAAATATAATTTCATTGATGGAATAGCGGAAAGAAGAAAAACTGGAATTTTTTGAATTACCATTGATGAAATCTACATATGTCGCTCATTTCTTGCAAGTTAACATCGTTTAACAACAGCTCACATATCTCTTATTGCCTGAAGGGGTTTAAATTGGATAGACATTTAAGTATATGATGATCAGTTTTCTGTGAAATTTTATTTGGTTAATGATGTATTTCTTTCTTTTTTTCCGTCTTTTTTTGCTACTCTGAAAAAGAAATAATTATATATCTTTTCATTCATCCTTTCTCTTCTTTTCTCTCCCTCCTCCTCTCTCTCTCTCTCTTTCCCACTTGCGCTATCATCACTTTTTTATGATAATTTTTGTTGTCAATTGCTGTCAATTTGAAAATTGAAAAATGATTGGAAGTTCTGGTGCACTTTCCAACAAAATACACATGAAGGCAGAAAAAAGAGAAACGAAAGAAAAATGAGGGCTGATAATTAGATCAATAAACAATAATATTAATGAATTGTTAAATTTTGCTATAAATTTACAACTTATATAACGATAATGTGTTAATGTTTTAATCCGAAATATTTGTTTTAACACATAAATAATTTTCAATAATTAATTATTTTAAGTATTTATTGTTTTTATCCTATCTTATTTTGCTTTGTTAATTTCCTCTTTCGCTTGTTTGTCTCTCGTCTTTTATAGTAATTTATTTCATGGCCAGACGAATACGCTTAAAAACCGGACTTTTAAAATATTATACTGGCTTAAATAATTACTATTAAATTAGCAAGAATATCAATATCGACAACGACAGGAGCAACAAACCAATAACAACGAAATGAATAATATAATCATTTTAAAACCAATATATTTACGATCTTTAAAACTATATTGATCTGAATGATAATCATAAAACCATTAAGAAAACTAATGACAATAAAAACAATATCATCAACAATGATGACGACAATAAAAAAACAACAACAGCGATAACAAGTAACAACAACCTCAGCATGTTTATTTTGAGTAATTAGCTAGTAATAACATTAATAACAATAGCAGCTTCACCAATAACAATAACGACAAAATGAATGATAGCAATGATAATACAATGTTCTCGTAATAAACAAATTTATGATATTTTAAACTGTATTGATTTTGAACAATTATTATTAAATTAAAATAATAATATTGATATTAATAATAATAACAACAACAACAACAACAACAACAACAATCTACCACAACAAAAACAATAACAATAAAATGAATGACAGTAATTGATAATAAAATCATGTCAAAATCAAACTTATTTGTTATACAAAAGAATTTTTTAATTGATTGGAATTTCTTGGCATATCATGCATAAATGCATAGTTAACATTTCTTTGTTCACTGATGCCAACGAATAAAGCGGATTCTCAAATTGTTATCTGACAGATATTTCGTAAACGAGTTTTATTCGTTTTTTTTATCCTTTTTTTCATACTTCGAATTCAAAATAAAAGAAAAATTTAAAAAAAAAAAGACATTTTCTTTTTTCTCTTCAATGGATCATTTTGATATATGATACAAAACGAACCGTATAAGATGCGCATTCTTTCTCGCTTCAATAAAATTAATTGAAAGTTGTGTGGTCAATCTATTGCTATACAACTTGTTGTTTGGGATATAAATCGGAAAAAAAAAGAGTGAAAATAGGAAGAAAAAAAATATTTGAGTTTGAATGATCAAAGGGGATGAAATGATTTTTTATACTTTAATAAAAATTTGAAAATGTAAAACAAAAAAAAAAGAAAGGAAAGAAATGAAGTAAATAATCGATTGAATAATAAATAAAATTATTTTCTTTTTTATTTTGCTAACAATTATGAGACTGTTAACTAATCATTATTATGCTGAAATAGAAAAAATAAATAAATTTGAGTTCATTTATTTAAATATTAACGCATATTCATTCGGTTACTCATAATTGAATGATTCGCTTTTTGATATATTTTATTTGCAAATAGCAGGAAGCAATTATTTGCAATAATTGCATTTGCAATTTTAATTTATTTTTTATTAATGAATCGGAAAATTCTTTTTTTTTTTTAGCGGAAGATATATCACTGATATATCGAAAGGAATGGTAATTAAAAAAGCTTTCTAAAGTATCATTGACTTATTTAAAGTATTCATTTGCAAATTAACTCTTTCTTTGCTTGCCTTCTTTCTGTTTTACCGAAGCTTCATTTTAAATTATGCATAAATTTCTTTTAAGATGTTTTATGAAAAAAAGAGAATATGCAACAAATTTTATCTTCAATCAATCCTTAATTTCTCTCAATAAATGTTAAAACAATAAAGTAAATTGACAATCATCAAGCAAATTCTGTAAAATTAAAAAAAAAATCTAATCATGTTTGCATAGCATGTCTTTTTGCTATTTTCAGATGTCATCAATTTCATCTCAGCAATCGATTTTGAAAAAATTTCACGAATTTTTTAAAGTTAATTACTACAATATGAAAGGTTACTTTTTAAGCACATCAAACTGGTTTGATTAAAATTAAGATGGAATCAAAATACTAATGGTAATTGTTTCAAGCAAATTCATAATTTGAATGGATAAATTTCGTTTCACATCGCAAATATCTCAAACTTTTAAATGTCTCAAACATTTTAAAATAATGGACAGTTTTTCCCTTCTGAATCGGATTTATTGAATTACAAAATTGCTAATGGAGAAAAGATTGGGACAGAACAAGTTTGACAGCAAAAATTTCAAAAATTATTTTGATGATAGGATCAAGCAAATTTAAATGAAATGGTTTCAAAAATGTTTTGATGCTAAGACCAAACAAGTTCAATTGCAAAGATTTCAAAAATACTTTGGTGCTAAATCGGAATAGGATGAACAGAACGATTTCAGAAATGTATTGGCTCTAAACTAAACTAAACTGTAAAAATTTCGAAAAATTTTTCTCAAAATTTTTCAGTTCAGTTTAGTTCCGACGTTAAAACAAATTGAATAGCAAAAATTCCAACAATTTTTTTGTTCATAATACGAGAATTTTTGAAATATAACATACGAGATTTAAACTACATCAACTTATCTTCCGCAGATGAAATTGCAAGTAACATTTGACGAAAATCAATTTTCAAACAGTAACAATGTAATCAATCGATTATTTCTATCAGTAATAGATAATCTGATAAAAATAAGTTTATCAGGTTTGGTATGTCTTGCAATCGTTATGAATCTCTGGCTTGTCTCATCGAATTCCTTATTTTACCTTTTTTTTTCCGCTTTTCTTCACTCATTTCATAGCGCTTTATTGATGACGATTATTCATATTCAATTTTTTCAAATCTCCCTGGAATAGCGATTTTCAAATTTTTGAAATTTTAAATTTACTGAAGAAAAAATTCAAAATGATGAAATGAAATATAAAAAACGTGCTAATTATTCGAAAGTAAACAGTCTCCTGGAATTAATCAAATATAGGATGATTTAAAATTATTACAGATTTATAGATTTCCAAACTAAAAATGATTTGTATAAGACA